TATACTGTATTATACTTGTAACCTTAAACCACTGTGGGCGCAGTTCTCAGCAGCGTTCATTGCCATGTGTGTCAGCTGAGAAAGTGGGTTCCACACCAGAGGGAATATGGGGGAGCCATGGGCAATGAGCAGTGAGCTGGGGGTGGGGTGTGACTTGGAATCAGAGGGTGATAATTTAGAGACCGAGTTCAGATGAGGGAACAGTAAACCTAGGTCTGCTCTAAGGAGACTCTGAGGACCCAGCAAATGTACCTGGGATGGTGGTGTCCTGTGGAGAGCCTGGAGAAGGTAAGTGTCAGGGGTCTGTGACTGGAAACCATAGGAGCCAACTCTGTAAAGCAAGGACTCTGTTGGGGTGGGATTGGGGGAGGTAGAGATGCTAAGTGTGGCAGATGCTAAGTGTGGGGGTCTAGCACCAGGAGCCTATGGATGACTCTTCAAAACTCTGCTGTAAGGATGAAGCTGCTGCTGCTTCTGTTATTTCACCCAAGATTCAAAGTCCATGTCTTCCTCCCTTCTCCATTCAATGAATGCGTTATTAGTGCTTATAATCAGCACTGCTTAGGCACTGATAATGCATCAGTGAGAAAAACAGTCCTTGTTTTCAATGAGCTGACCTTCCAGTAGGAGAGGCAGACGATGAGCAAATACATAAATGTATGTGGTGCAGTGGTGTGCACCCTAATGAAAATTGCAGCAGGGTGGGTGACAACAGGATGGAAGCAGGTGGCAGGTGACATGTGTAGATGTGTGGAACACTGTGGCTTCTGTGAGGGCTAATATTTGAGCAGAGATCTGGAAGAAGTAAGGGACTGAGCTGTGGGCACCAAGGGGGAAGATCATCCAGGGAGAAGGGCATCTGAGTGGCCTGGGTTGGTCACCAGTCTACTGATGAATCATGGAGGATGGGTCCCCATGAATGACAGGTTGTCAGGACTGTGTGCAATAGGGATGACCCCCAAAGGAAAATGGAATTGCTTTTACTATAGAAATTCAATAGGCAGAAAGGAAAGCTGCCCACCACAGTTGAGGGTGGTGGTTCTTTCAGTGAATTCTGCCCCCAACAGAGAGAATGAATGAGAAAGGGAATTGTTTCCACTTCCAAGAGATGGGGACAGCAGGAATCAGGTGGACAGAGAGGCTTCGGACAGCGTCTGGTACTCTGGATTCAACTGAATCCCAATGACTGGTGCAAAAGCAGGAGGGAAGAGGGTGGGAGAGGAAAGATACAGGTGTTCAGGAGGCCCAAGGATGAGTGCCCGCACTTCCCGTTCTACACGCTGGGGCCTGCCCTCAATAGCACAGTGGACGTCATTTGTTCTTCTACTGCCATCTGGGAAACAACAGAAAACCACTTCCAGATGCCATTGCATGGTAGGGGAAGCCAGTTCCTTGCTGCCATCACCCTCCAGGGCACTCAGAGAAGAGGGGCTGGCAGGCTGCACACAGCTGTGTTTGCATGGTGGCCCCAGGATGGGACTAGGGTACGGGTGGTGGTGGTCACTCTTCTCTGCCTCTCCCTGAGTGTGGTCACTTGTAATTCCCTGAATACACCATGCACTTTCAAATCAGTGTGCCTTTGCCCATGTGTGCTGCTCAGCCTTTAGTGTCTAGTGTCCATGAAACCTTCTCTGTCCTCCATCCCCAGCTAATTACCACTCATCATTCTTCTCCCACGGTCCACAGCATATTATTGGTGCTTGTTGCACCTATTCACTGAACCTTGGATCATAGTGAGTTTTACACATTTCTTTCCTGGAAGACAATACATCAGTTTTATTCACCTTTGCAGTGACCCCTCCTTGTCCCAGTGCCTTGCATTACAGATTGCATGGATGAGCGGGTGATCTCTGACCCTGCAATGTGAATCCTTATTCAACCTTTTATATATAGCTAATACACAGCTATATATATAAACATATACACATATATAGCCTATATGTATGTATATGTGTGTCTGTGTATGTATATATGTATATGTACATACACAGGCACACATATACATAAATATACATATACACAGGCATACATATACATGCATATATACACACACAGGCACACATATACATACACACAGGCACACATATACTCATATATATACACACAGGCACACATATATATGCATATACATACACACACAGGCATACATTTACACACACATATATATATACACACAGGCACACATATACATAAATATACATATATACACAGGCATACATATACATACATATTTACACACACAGGCACACACATATACATACACACAGGCACACATATACTCACATATATATATACACACAGGCACACATATATATGCATATACATACACACACAGGCATACATATACACACACATATACATACACACACAGGGACACATATACACACATATATACACACACAGGGACACAGATATATATGGGAGTGATTCCATTGGACTCATTTGCTATATGATGGAAGTAAATGTTTCTGGTTATATTGCCAAATTTTAAAAAGCTTTATCTATATTTTAGGGAGTAGTTGAGGGTTTTTCTTGGCGAATGCTATTTAATTATTTTCCTCTCACTGGATATTGTGTGTCTGGCCAGCACACATCCTGCACAATCCCGCTTGCCACTCCAAGATGTTGCACTCAGGTGCTCCGGCATAAATAGCATGGCAGAAACACCCTGTCTGCGTTTGTAAGATAGCCTCTTTCACGCTAGAAGAACTACTTTGGGAGAATGATTCATGTCACATTTTGGCCTCATTACAGTTTTAAGTTGTACATGATGCCGGTTTGCCTGGAGGTGTAAACATAAGTGTTATCTTTATATGCACATGGGAATACCTGTAACAGAAAAAAGTACTTTCTATTCTTGAGTTACAGTCTAGGTTATAAACAAAGAGATTAACAGGATCTTTATCAAAATTCTAATTTTATTGATGAGATGCCTGCTTCTGAAAAAGTACCAATTACTTATGGCTCTGCATCCACTCCATTTCCAAACACAGATGGAGAGTCAAATAACTTAATGTCTTATTGTTATAAGCAGATGATTCTATAAAATACACTGCTTTCTCTTTTGAAATAGTGTGAAAAGTGAGAGCAGGTGTTAAATTACTGTCTTGCTGCTTGTGGTTAAAAGTAACAGGAGGTACAAAATAATTCAAAGTGTACTGAGTGATTAAGTTGAAGCCATTCTAATTATTTCAGTTTGCTTTCTGGTAACTTTAAAGGATATGGCAAAGCGTCCTTATTTACTCAGTGGCTACAACGCATGACGACAATGGAAATGAGGAACCCTTAACACCTGAGTTTGTTATCAGGCCTTGTACGCAGCAGTGCCTCACAAGTGTTTATTGATTTGTCCCCGAATAACTGAGTTCAAATAGGAAAAATATTAGGTTTGGAATGTGCTTAGATTTTTCTATGATTCTCAAGGAATTCCATATGCTATACTAAAATTTTAAAATGGACAAAATATTACTTCTTTTAGAATTTTAAATTATAAAAGTAAAAATTGAAAAATAAAAAAATTGAAGGAATGCTAATGAATTTGTTGTTGTTGTTTGTTATATGCCCACTTTTTTTCTTTTCTTTCTCATATGCAAAATACATTCAGCCCATTTTTTTTTTTTTTTTTGAGATGGAATCTTGCTCTGTTGCCCAGCCTGGAGTGCAGTGGTGCGATCTCGGCTCACTGCAGCCTCCGTTCACTGACACCTCGGCCTACCAGGTTCAAGCAATTTTCCCACCTCAGCCTTCCATGTAGCTGGGATTACAGGCATGCACTACCATGCCCAGCTAATTTTTGTTTTTTTTTTTTGTAGAAACAGGGTTTCACCATGTTGGCCAGGTTGGTCTTGAACTCCTGACCTCAAGTGATCCTCCCGCCTCAGCCTCCCAAAGTGCTGGAATTACAGGCATGAGCCACTGCTCTGGCCTATTTTTTTTTTTTTTTTTTTTGAGATGGAGTTTCACTCTTGTTGCCCAGGCTGGAGCACAATGGCATGATCTCAGCTCTCTGCAACGTCTGCCTCCCAGGTTCAAGTGAGTCTCCCGCCTCAGCCTCCCAAATAGCTGAGATTACAGGCACGGGCTACCATGTCCAGCTAATTTTGTTTTTTAGTAGAGATGGGGTTTCACTGTGTTGGCCAGGCTGGTCTCAAACTCCTGACTTCAGGTGATCCACCAGCCTTGGCCTCCCAAAGTGCTGGGATTATAGGCATGAGCCACCTTGCCCGGCCTACATGCCCATTTTGATGGCAAGTTTTTTGGGTACAGTGACAACCTTTTGATACACTGACAGTGAGACATATTCTCCCCATCCCCCTTGAACAGGTGCTTTAAAAATTATTTTCTGGTTCATCTGTGGTTGGTGCTTTCCATTTGGAATTTTTGACCCATGCCATTTAGGGAGATTTATTCATATTTGAATAAGATTCTTCAGTTAACAATAAACGAAATGCATTGTAAGATCTTATTTAATTCTAAAGTGGTGAATTGAAAAAATATTAGCAATTTGAGGACACTTCAGCAGTTTCGTCAATTCAGCAGAATCCAGCCTCATGGCAAAATCTGGCCTTGAATTTGCTCATCCTGCTAGACCCTTCCAGCTATGATGTGTGACACCTACTTTTTTCTTTGTTTTTCCTTATCGTAAGACTTAAAAAAAATCCTCTCTTCATTATTCAGTGACTGCCTCATTAATTAGCCTGGGTCTCTACTTTTAGAAATTCGAATTTAGTGGTTCTGGAGTGGGGCCTGAGCGCTTATATTAAAAAACAAAACAAAAGCAACCAAATGCTCTCCCAATGATTCTGATGCTCTAAGAGGACAACAGGTAGATAAAAGGTAAGCTTCAAAACCAGGATGTCAACATGGACACAAATCTCTGAAGGTCCCCATTTTTGGAAGTTAACTGGATTGAACTGTGACATGCCTATGGTATGACAGTGAAATGAGAGACATGTAATGAAATGTCGCTGTATTTCATATTTCCCCTTCTGTCTTCTCAGCCATCATGTATGTCATGGGAGCACTTGGCCCTGCGGTGGGATATTTATTAGGTGGACTTCTTATTGGTTTTTATGTTGATCCCAGAAATCCTGTTCACCTTGACCAGAACGACCCTCGTTTCATCGGAAACTGGTACGTCCTGTTTTCTATTTTTTTCATTTCACTTCTTACCAATAATAGTGAGAGTTATAGTACACTTGGATTTAAAATTTTCCCAATGGGAGACAAAACATAGCAGAAAGGTGCCTGGGAAAGAGTGATAGGCAGGATAATAACATCGCAAAGAAAGCTACGTCCTAATCCCTAGAACCTATGAAGATGTTATCTTACATGGCAGAAAGGACTTTGCAGATGTGATTAAGGACTTCGAGATGATTTTAGATGACCTGTGCGGGCCCAGTGCAATCAAAGGAAAGAGGGAGGCAGGAGGGAAGGCAAGAATCAGAGAAGGAGAGCTGATGATTGAAGCACAGGTTGGAGTGATGTGCCTTGAAGATGGAGGAAGGAGCTGTGAGCAAAGAATGGAGGTGGCCTCTAGAAGCTGGGAAAGCAAGGAAACGGGTTCTTCCCTCAGCCTCTGGAAGGCATGCAGCCCTTCCAATCATTTTACACTTCTGATCTCCAGAACTATAACATGAGTCAGATTGTGTTGCCTGAAGCCACAAAGTGTGTGGTACCTTCTCATAGCAGGGAGCTTATACAGAGGGTTTGGGGACAGTAGCTTAATCCGCATTCTTTAGGATCAGGGTGCTTTCTTCATAGCAGAGTGAAGGAAAAGGACTGCTGTGGCTATGTGAGGACATTCCTGTTGACTTTAATCATACCTTTCAGCATCTTTCCTGTGCCTTAAAAAAATATATGTTCTTTCCACATTCTTACTGTGTTTGCGTGTCTGCTTTACAACCCTCTCCCACTGCCTGGAATGCCAGTCCGCTTTTCCACTGTTACACTCTCAATGAAGCTTATTTCTTGCTAATCTTTTGTTTCCCCACATGTACTAGAGGTTTAGCTGCTTTCTCAGTTGTCCTGCAAAATAAATAATGCTTAGGACTCAGAATGAGAACTTCAACTTTGAATGGTATGTTATTTATCCAAGTAAGAGAGTTGTGCTTGAGTTCTTGCAGTCCTCAACTTGAACATGATATGTTATTTCTTCAAAATTGCAAGCACAAATTGAAAATATTGGAGTCCTGAATTCATTTCATGTGGATTGGCAATAGCTATACATTGATAAGGCATTTTCATTTTATAGCAGAGAGAATACTTCAGTATTAGAAAACATATGTGCCAAGTAATTACTTACTACTTTTTTTAACATAGACACACATAAAGAAAGCAATTACTTTCTAAAGAGGGTCTTAGAGTGCTTTGTACTCTGTGTTTCATTACATGATAATAACATTATAACTTTGAGGTTGGTGGGAATCTTGTTTAACACTATTGATTCTCAAAGCAGCTAACAGATATTAATTGTTATACAGGCTTCCTCTTTTCATGAGTAATGCTCTTTGAAGCTGGAAGTGTTAAGTCGGGTAGAATTTTTAAATGGTACAGAAAGGAGTTCCCCTATCAGCATTAGGGGAGTAACACAGGAGTTTTAAGTTCTTCACTCATAGTGAAATTTTTGGTCTTGTCTGTTTTCTTTCCAGTTCTGAAATAAATCAGAGTAGAGACTTTTTTTCATTGTCACAAAACCAGATGAATTAACTCTATTTATGAACATCCAGCATGTACTCTGTGTTCTATTTAGGGGTCCTTAAGGAGGGCACAGTGACAGGAAAACATTTGGAGTGAGAGATGGGGAGAGCCAACTCGGGTAGGAAGAAGGAGGGAGGGCAGGAGCTTTAGCCGAACAGCGCGTTATGCTGTCTTTTAGGAGATGTTAGTTCAGTTGGCAGTAAAATTGAGAGATGAGGGCCAGGAATGGTGGCTCACCCATGTAATCCCAGCACTTTGGGAGGCTGAGGCGGGTGGATCACTTAAACATCAGGAGTTCGAGATCAGCCTGGCCAATGTGGCGAGACTCTATCTGTACTAAAAATACAAAAAATTAGTCGGGTGTGGTGGCACATGCCTGTAGTCCCAGCTACTCAAGAGGCTGAGGCAGGAGAATCACTTGTGGGAGGCAGAGATTGCAGTGAGCTGAGATCGCACCATTGCACTCCAACTTGAGTGATACGGTGAGACTCTCTCTCAAAACAAAAATTAAAAAAAAATTGAGAGATGAGGAATATAGACCCTGAAGCCATACTCCTCTGGGTTTAAATCCTAGTCTGCCACCTAATACCTATGTGACTTTGGGAAGTTACTCTGTGCCTCAGTTTTTTAATCCGTAAAAGAAGGTAGTTACGATACCTATTTCATAGGGTCGTTGTGAGGAATGAATGAGTTTACATGTGTAGGGTTTAAGCAGTTCCTGCTGTAAAGTATGTGTTAACTATTAATTTAATCAACATTCAAATAATTTTATCCATTTTCAATGGCTCAATGTTAGTTCTATAAATGATAAAGATTGTCAATATAGAGATATATGAGAGTCTATTTAAACATGAATTCAAATTTTATTGAGTAACTCTGCTTGTAACAGACTTCTGCCTTGAACGACGACATAGTTATTTGATGCAATGCTATTTTATACGATGTCTAGCAGCAGTGGTAAATTTTCAATAGGTATATGCTGAAAGGAAGAAGGAAGGAAGGAAGGGATGAATAATATTAAAATGTATTGGGTGCTTATTTTGTGTCAAGCATTATACTAAGCTCTGCAAACATTCTCATCTAAGCCTTGTAACAACCATAGATAGTCACTGGTGTTATGTGTGTTTTGTAGCTGAGGAAGTTGTTGCTCAGGGAGTTGAATAATTTTCCATAAGCCTCAGAGTCAGTGAGAGCTGGGATAAGAAACTTACTCCAGAGCAGAGCTCTGAGTCCATTCTCTTAACCGGCCCGCTTTGTGAATGGTCTCCGAGTCATGGTTCATGAAAGGGATTTAGGTAGCCTAGCTTTTCAAGTGTAGCTATTATTGACGTGTCTTTTTCCAACATGTACTGCACACTTTCTGTCTCACTCAGCTTTTCTCAGGGTCGTCTTTAGCATCGTTGTTATATCATGTGTTGTGTCAATGTTATTGGAGACTGTTGAAGCATGTGAGTCAGTTTGCTCTGCTTTGAAATGACCCCACGCTTTAATATTATTTTTGTGTATTTGCTATAACTCCCCCATTTCTGTTATGCACCCTCACTTTGGCTATTATGTGTATATTTTTAATGTTTGCATATAATTTTAAGTCAATGGCTGGGGCTGGGATGGGCAGGGAGGCTGAGTGCAATGCTATGTAAAAAGCATGCCAGGTGCAGTGGCTCACGCCTGTAATCCCAGCACTTTGGGAGGCTGAGGTGGGCAGATCACTTGAGCCCAGGAGTTCGAGACCAACCTGAGCAATGTAGTGAGACTCCCTGCTTCTCTACAAGAAAATAAGAAAATTAGCCATGATGCCTGTCGTCCCAGCTATTTGGTAGGCTGAGGTGGGAGGATCACTTGCACTCGGGAGGTCAAGGCTGCCGTGAGCCATGATCGTGCCACTGTACGTCAGCCTGGGCAACAGAGTGAGACCCTATCTCTAAAGAAAAAAATCAAAATAAATGAATAAACAAATAAAAGGCAAACCAACCACACAAAACTAGCTATCATGAACTGATTGCTAATTAGGGGGCAGACGTTTTATGACGTCCATTCAAAACATTGTCTTATTTAATTTTAATGACCCCCAAAATACTTATTACCCCTCTCATAGATAAGAAGGTCTACTTGGAAAAGCAAAATAATTTCCCTGGGATCCTATAGTTAGCAAATGGTAAAGACAGGATGCAAACCCAGGTCTGTCTGAAGCCACAGCCCATGAGCTGTCCCTACACTACACTGCCTGCCCTCTTCTGGAGAGAGTGTGAGAGCCAGAGCTGCAGGGATTCAGGGAACTGGAATGGAGAGACTCGAGAGGTAAGCGAGCAGTGCCTGATGGGTAAGGACCTTGTAAGCAGCCAAGTACTAAGGGGGCCAGGCATGATCATAGCTTGCTCTCTGTAGACGTATGACTTTTTTCTTTTGTTTTTTTTTTGAGATGGTTTCGCTTTTGTTGCCTAGGCTGGGGTGCAGTAACACGATCTCGGCTCACCTCAACGTCCGCCTCCAGGGTTCAAGCAATTCTCCTGCCTTAGCCTCCCAAATAGATGGGATTACAGGCATGTGCAACCATGCCAAGCTGATTTTGTAGTTTTAGTAGAGACAGGGTTTCTCCATGTTGGTCAGGCTGGTCTCGAACTCCTGACCTCAGGTGATCTGTCCACCTCAGCTTTCCAAAGTGCCAGGATTATAGGCATGAGCCACTGCGCACGGCCGACAGGTGACCTTTTTAATTATTTTTATTTTTTTTTTGAGACAGAGTTTTGCTCTTTTAGCCCAGGCTAAAGTGCAGTGGTGCAGTCTCAGCTCACTGCAACCTCTGCCTCCTGGGTTCAGGCGATTCTCCTGCCTCGGCCTCCCGAGTAGCTGTGATTACAGGCACTTGCCACCACACCCAGCTAGTTTTTGTATTTTTAGCAGGGACAGGGTTTCACCATGTTGGCCAGGCTGGTCTCGAACTCCTGACCTCAGGTGATACACCTACCTTGGCCTCCCAAAGTGCTAGGATTACAGGTGTGAGCCACCGTGCCCAGCCAACCTTTTTAAAATTAAAACTGTCTTTTCCAATTTATTTATTCAGCAGATTTTTTTGAGTACCAAATCTGTGCCAGGCACTGGGCTTGTGATTACATTCTGAATAACTGAGATTGCTGGAAGTCTGCCCCAAGCAATCTTCTCAACATAAAACCCTTTCCTGACTATCTTAAAATCTTCAGTTGATATAACTTTAAATATCTTTGAAAATAGCACACTGAATTATTAATGACTAATTGTAGGAATCATTCTCTCAACTGTGACCTTTAGCAGCTGATAACAGCACTGCGTTAGAAACATTATTTTAAAAAATGAATTTTCACTTTGCAATGGATCTATATTCTTACCGGATTGAATTCAACGTTAATACTTACAATGCTGCTTGCGTTCTGGTTATAATTGATGCGAGCGTGTTGAGCATTTATGAACTTGGAAGCTTGAATGGCAGAGTTTGGAAGTGAGGAATCGTAGTTAGAATGTGGCTGCCCTGTTAGGTAGGGTCAGGGGCCTCTGATTGCTAAGGAAAGGTTGAAAGGGGAATGAGAAATTGCCACATGGGGAATCATGCAGTCAAGAAGCCCAAGGCCCTAGCACTACAATTTCAGTTCTACTCTCTGTGGTTGCTTCCTAGTGCTCTGCAACGTGATAACCTCAGGTAAATTTAAAGACAGAAATCTGAGTCTAATAGCTCCGGTTCTACTTTTCTTAGGGTGCTTTCCAGTACTTATTAATTTTCCCTGTCTGAATTTTGATAGCTCTCATAATCTATACCATATAATCTGACATTTAATTACATGCATTTGCATTTCTTAGAGGCTGTTTCTTATATTTTGGCTTGCTTATGAATAGGTTATAGGTTCTTGAAGGCAGAGACTAAGTCTAAATGTCATTGTTGGTAAACCTCATACTTGGTTAAGTATCGTGAAGGCCAGCTAAGTGGGTGGCAATACATTCTTTTTTTTTTTTTTTTTTTAAGACAGAGTCTTGCTCTGTCACCCAGGCTAAAGTGCAGTGGTCTGATCTCTGCTCACTGCAACATCCGCCTTCCAGGATCAAGCAATTCTCCTGCCTCAGCCTGCCCAGTAGCTGGGATTACAGGTGCCCATCACCATGCTCAACTAATTTTGGTATTTTTAGTAGAGACAAGGTTTCACCATGTTGGCCAGGCTGGCCTCAAACTCCTGCCTCAGCCTCCCAAAGTGCTGGGATTACAGGCGTGAACCACTGCACCCAGATAATACATTCTTAAGTGTTTGCAGAAAAATATTTGAATACTATCAACAATTTAAAACATATTTCACATGGGATATTAATGCTTTTCTTCTGAGAAAAAATGTTTATATTGGTCCGCATAACATGCTATAGTCTACATTATTTTTCTGTTGAATTTATAATTTAGTGATTTATCATAAAATACACATTGTAGAAGGTTAACAATGCTAGCAGAACTAACCCATTAGTGCCCCAAAATACTTGAATGAAATTCTAATTAGGTTGCTGATTACAATATTCAGTATAACACTAATATAATTGCAGCTTTCTCATTTATATCACAGAAAAGGAGAATTCCTTCATTTTCCTAGTTTGCTCAACTTCCTGTCTCTTTACAATTGATTATAAAGTTTCCTCGAGAATTTTATCACCACGAACTTCTACTTTACTAGTAATTTGTTCTCACCCACGAAAGAAAAGCCATAAATGCTATTCACATTTTCCAATTTTTAGGTGGAGTGGATTCCTCCTTTGTGCCATTGCAATGTTTCTTGTGATATTCCCAATGTTTACTTTTCCAAAAAAGCTTCCACCTCGACACAAGAAAAAGAAAAAGAAAAAATTTTCTGCTGATGCTGTTACTGATGATGATGTTCTGAAGGAGAAATCAAACAACAGTGAACAAGTGGACAAAAAAGTTTCTTCTATGGGATTTGGAAAGGATGTCAGAGGTAATGTATCTCTCTTGAATAAATACGTGCATGGTGCTTTGATCAGTGCTACTCAAAGTGTGGTCCCAGGCCACTGCTGTCTGCCCACCAACTGTGGGTTGGCCTGTGGCCAGATAAATACTAAGATTGAGAGTAAATGTTGCAAAACTCTTTTAGGAACTTGACAGAGTAATTTTTTGTCTGTTGTATCTAATAATAGTTTAAAAATTAAACTTATATTTTGTAGGTTGTTTAAAAAATTAATTTTAAAATAATTCATCATTTTTGTCTTTGCAAAAGTATTAGTAGATGACAGACTAGAAATAATAATTTTAAAAAATGATTCTTCTTCACACACATAGTTTGAGAAGCACTGATTTAGATCATAAAGAAACAGATGTCTATATATGTTATTTACTATAATTAAAGAAGTCTGATTTTTAAAATATTAAAAATCAAGTGCGGTGTACAATGGAGGGTTTGTTTCAGGGGACCAGTGACTTTGGTAGTGTGGTTTCATGCATACATAAGTATAAAACCTACCACTAGAAAGGGATCTCACTTAACAGTGGCTTTGTCAAGTGCTTGCATGTGGCTCCAGAGAACCGAGGCCAGGAGATGGGCCTCTAAACCCAGTATAAAAGCACTCAGAAGGTCTTGGTGATGTATGGTTTATTTTTTTCATTTTTATTTCTTTTAAAAATGCTAATTATGTTAAAGCTAGATTAGGCCATCTATAGCCTAAACAACCTGAAGTGATCATGACTAGACAATATTTATTCAATATTTTGTGTATCTGTTGAATGACAACAAGTTCCTTTAATTCCAGAAACCTATAATGCTACGCTCCTATTAATTTCAGTTTAGTTTCCAACATTTGGTGAATTGATTTTTTTTGGTATAAATTATGAAGCATAATATTTATCACGTGCTTTCATGAATCAAGGTTATGTTAGGTAAAATGTACCTGGGCACATTATTGTCTCATTTTGACTGTATACACAGTGTGGCCAAAGAGGAACATTTCTAGCCTAGAATAAAGTTACTCATATGTTACAGACATGTCCCTACAGCCTAAGAATAATAATAGTTAGATTGGACCATTTTTAAAGACTATATTTTTTGAAAGCAAATGAAATGCTACTTCATTAAAAATACTTCTTTGCAGTTACATCTTAGATTAGGCCCTCTCCCGTGCCATGATTTTGTGACAGCGGCAGTTTTGGAACTGTACGTGACGTCTTATGCTCTAATAACATAAAGCGTTCTCTGGACACTGGCATGGCCTGGTCTCTTCCCATGTGTACTGGCCCGTCATTGTTTTGTGAACCTATTATAGACCATTATGGCTACTGTCAAAAGAGTGATTTTTTTTTTTTTCATAACTCAACTGAGACAAGCTTGATGTCAAAGAATTTAAAACACAGCAATAACCTTTGGGTTTTTTTTTTTTTTTTTTTTTGAGTTGGAGTCTCACCCTGTTGTCCAGGCTGCAGTGCAGCAGTGCAATGTCCACTCACTGCAACCTCTGCCTCCCAGGTTCAAGCAATTCTTCTCTCCCAGCCTCCCGAGTAGCTGGGATTACAGGTGCCCACCCACACTTTGCTAATTTTTGTTCTTTTTGCTTAGTAGAGATGGGGTTTTACCATGTTGGCCAGGTTGGTCTCAAACTCTTGACCTCAGGTGATCCACCCTCCTTGGCTTCCCAAAGTGCGGGATTATAGGCGTGAACCACCGTGCCCAGCCAGCCTTTGAGTCTTCATTTATGGAGACTATAAAGTAGATTCAAAGGGAGAAATAAAGTCATAGGAAAGATAATATTATATATTTTATATAAAATTTCACATGCATGTGAAACATAAATCACCTAGCTTAGGGTTGGGTGACTTGTATGTGAAATATATGATTTATTGGATAGTAGAAAATGGGGAGAAGATTGATATCAAATACCAACAGCAGATACAACTGTTGATGGGAAAGAAGTTCTTTTGGAAGATGCAGTGTAGACAATGCTATCAATGGCCTGTCTGCATTTTGCACCCTACCGTTTTCATGGCAGAGGTCCACTAACTGCCAGGACGGAAGTGATTTGCCTGAAGGGTTTTCTTTGTGAGCTGGGAAAACTGCTTGGCCCCTGCTTGAGGTGGTCTTCAGGCACCACAGAATGAAACCCCTGGCCTCCAATTCCCCAGAGAAGTCTTAACCGGATGACCGTAATCACTACAGCTCCTGCCCCTCATGGGAAAGGGAATTCTGAGGTGTGTTTCTGTGTTTTTCGTGGGCTCTTCTTCCTTCCAGTGCACTTTGACTGCACTCCCCACCCAGTGTTCCCTGAGTTGCCTAAATAAATTACTTGGACGTGAACCCTTGTCTCAGGGCCTGCTCCTGGGGAGCCCACACTTAGATATGCTGGCTCAAAAGTGATCAAGGCCATTGAGAATTTAAAAATGATTTTTGGAAATGGAATCTATACTCTATTTTTGGGGAATATCTTCTTATACTGCCAGGGTTTGCTTTTCTGTTTTCTATATGCTTAATTTGATGGTTCAAGATATTTTCTTTTAAAAACAAGAATAAGAGGGGTCTTTGAATGATGATGGGTAGTTGGCTTATAAAATCTGTTTCTATTCTGATTTTCTTGTTAGTCTTTTTCATAAAGTCCCCTTTTTTTACTCTATGCCTTGATTATCATGACTGATCCTACTTCTGTAGCCAAACCTCCTGATTGGGACACACAGCTGATTCATTTCATTATTTCCACTTGTCCTGGATTTTCTAATCATATCAAGACTGGAACTTCAAGAGACACATTATCTTGTTAGAAAGAAATACCGTTTTAATTGAATTATACTAAAAATGTTTTGCTAAAATGACATTGATGGTATTAAAATAATGTTCAATTAGAATATTTAAAATTAATTTATTTTTATCTTGTATACATTGATTTCCTTTAGTGTATTTAATACATATCGCCTGAAGAAAGTGACTAATATTTAATACAATTTTCCAAAGGACAAATTAAATCCTTAGGAATCATTCTGCTATTGACATAATTTTAACAAAGCTGCGATGTATTATTGGGGTTATTTTTAACAAAGCTGAGATTTATTATTGAGGTCTTGCCTTAAAGAATGGTTCGTAGAAAAGTCAGTTTTGAGTTAAATCTGAATTTGAGTCCCAGATCATTTTTTCCCTTCTATTTTCTAGAGTAGGGCTTCTTTTGGTCTTAATTTTTAAATTATTTATTCTATTTTATTTTATTGAGACAGAGTCTTTCTCTGTCACCTAGGCTGGGGTGCAGTGGTGTGATCTTGGCTCACTGAAGCCTCAACCTCCCAGGCTCAAATGATCCTTCCTGCCTCAGCCTCCCTAGTAGCTGGGACTACAGGCCTGTGCCACCACACCTAGGTAATTTTTATGTTTTTTGTACAGATGGGGTTTCATCATGTTTTACAGGCTCATCTGGAACTCCTGGGCTCAAGGGATCTGCCTGCCTTGGCCTCCCAAAATGCTGGGATTACAGGTGTGAGCCACCACACCTGGCTTCTTGGTGTTTATTTTATGTTTGAAATTTGGATACCAATATTAGTACCTTCAAAGAGGAGGTAGAAGTTGGTAACTTACACTTCCTTATAAAGACAATTATTGGTCAGGTGTAGTGGCTCATGTCTGTAATTCCCTCACTTTGGGAGGCTGAGGTGGGCAGATCGTCTGAGGTCAGGAGCTCAAGACCAGCCTGGCCAACATGGCAATATCCCATCTCTACCAAAAATACAAAAATTAGATGGGCGTTGCGGTGAGGACCTGTAATCCCAGCTACTTGGGATGCTGAGACAGGAGAATCACTTGAACCCCGGAGGTGAAGGTTGCAGTGAACCAAGATTGTGCCACTGCACTCCAGCCTGGGTGACGGAGCAAGACTCCGTCTCAAAAAAAAAAAAAAAAAAGAAAAAAGAAAATTATTTGAGCCATGCAGAATGGTGCCCCTTTGGGAATTTCTACTGCAGAGAATGATAAAAGAAAATATACTCCACCTCCACATTTTAATGACAGACATTGAGAAAATCTGACTCAGTGTTTTCATACTCTTATTATAAATTATGCAGGAATAACACTGATTTAAGACACCACAAAGGGGAAAGTAGAATTTTCAATATGTCTGCATTACATTCCACAAAGAGATTAGCATTGATTTCATCAAAAATCTTACCAATAAAAATAAACACTTAAAATATTTAAGCGAATCTATTTCCCTGAGCTTTGAGGTCCAGCATTTTAAAGCATTCCAAATTTAACTGGGCAGCTTTCTATCTAAAAAACTTTTGGTGGCAGTTAATCATAGCAGGATTTTGCTTTCTATGTCCACTTTTTAATCTTTGAAGCTTAATTGTGTGTTACTAATTAAGCATAAAATGTAACACATTTTTCTCTGCTAGAGTTTTATCTGTTAGAGTACAATATATTTAAAATCCTAACTAAACAGTTTATCTGAGGTGATAAACTGATTTAAAGAGGCTACTGAAAGTGAGAGAATTTTGCTCATGGAAGGATAAAGTTGGCATCATTGAATTCATTGAATGTTCACTCTATACAGGGTGCTGTACTCCATGCTTTAGCTATAAGTTGTGTGAGCCATGGTTTGCCCTCCAAGAGCATAGAGTCCACTGAGGGAGCCAGGACAAACACAGATGGAAATTTATTAAAGAGCATAAAAAGAGAACAGGTGCAATGGTGTGGAGGTTCAAGGCTGCAGAGGGATCAGGAAAACTTATATGGAGGAGGTGGGATTTGAGATGACCCTGGAAAGATGGGGAGGATTTCCGTAGGTGGAGGCGGGTGTCAGAAATGTTGAGGCAGAGAGAGCAAAGGCCACAAGCTGGGACCGTGTAGGTGTATTTGGAAATGCTGAACAAGCATTTTGTAGTTGGCATGTTGGATATATGTGGTGGAGGCCTGGGAGATGAGGTTGGGAAGGTCGAGCAGGGCATGTGGTAGAGAATGTGAGCTCTAGTGTGAGCTCT